TAGAGCGTTAGTGAATTAAAAAAAAGCAGTATAAAAACCGGAATGCCCAACTGATAAGGCTGAAAATTTTTTCACTTGTTATTTACAGTAAGATAAATACATTCACCAACTTTTATTAAAATAAAACCATTTAAACTGGGTGTTCGGATTTATATGTCACTTAGTATATATTTTGATTCATGATATTTAGGCTACATTTTCACCTGATAATAAACGATCTTTGCAGCACATTATCATGCAAGAAGCTTATGTTTGCTGATGATCTGAAGCTTTACGCATGTGTTTCTAGCTGGCAGGATTGTGAAAACCTCCAACAACAACTAGTTATTTTACAAACATGGTGTGTTAATAACAATTTGTATTTGAACAATTCTAAATGCCGCATTTTGACCTTCACCCGGAAAGCCAAATTTTTAACTTACCCATACAAAATAGATGATTCTGTATTGGAAAGTTGTGAAACTTTCAGAGATTTGGGCGTCTATTTTGATTGTCAGCTCACTTTTAACTACCACATCAGTGAAATTATAAGTAATGCGTATCGCAAATATGGCTTTATTATCAGAAATTGTAGAAATTTCAATAACACAACGCATATTAAGTTATTTTCAGTGCTTGTTATAAGTAAATTAGAATACGGTGCAATTATTTGGAGTCCTATCTATAAACTGCACAAAACTAATGTTGAAAAAGTGCAGAAGAAATTTCTAAAATATCTATGCTATAGGAGTGAAGGTGTCTATCCTCCAAGAGGATGTGACTACTCACAATTACTGAATAGATTTGGCATCCCTTCTTTGGAAAAGCGCAGAGAGCAGGCGTCCATCATATTTTTATACAAATTACTGCATGGTAACATCGACTGTCCTGTTTTGCTATCGCAAATTAATTTCCTGGTACCTAGATTGACATCTAAATATAAAGTTTCCTTTTACTGCAAGAGGGCGCAGACAAATCTTCTATCTAAAGCACCAATAAACTTTATGTGCAATAATGCGAATAGGATTGTGAGTTTTTGTGATATCTTCTGTTGTGGATTTCAGGAATTACGAAGTGCTATACGTCCACATCTTTGACTTTTTTTACGCCTTTCTCTAGGGGTTTTCATTTGTTGTATATATATATATTGTATGTATGTATTTATGTGTATATATGTATACCTGTATATGTGTATACTCATATATGTGTGTATGTGTATATGGATATTTGTGTATATACCAGTATATTCTGGTTTCCTAATATCTATTGATCATATTTATAGTTTCTTTTTTCTCTACTTAAAGCGCCTTTCTCTTTTCTGTGTATTTTTTTTTTTTATTTTTGTTTCACTTTATGACACACAGACTGTGTAAATTAAACCATTGTATTATGTATTGCTCTCTAAATGGTATCTGTACTGTTGGGCAATAAATGCTTTATTATTATTATAATCGCAGCTTAAAATTATTTTCCTACCAAGATACAGGTTCCCAAAAAAAAGTGTGCGATATTTGGGCACTTTCCTCTACTACATACTTTCTTCAAGAAGCAGTCGTTAATGTTTTGCCGTGACCACCCCGTTAACCGGATTTAAATCCCATCGAACATTGTGGGATATGATATCAACTTTGCAACATCAAGCTGGGTGTAACATTTCTAATATCACTGAATATTTTTAACCTCCTTTAGCCTGAATGTAATGATAGATTGAAGAATAGTTGCATAATTATTTTTAGAATAGAGCCTCGAATGTATTTATTATGATATTTAAACTACGTCAGACGTGGTAATTTGCGAAATAAACTATGCATAAACAAGTATGCCTGAAAAGGTAGTGGAAAAACAAGACAATTAAGTTAAAATCACACAGTTTACATCACGCACGGACAAGATATTTTTAACCCAGGTGCCAGGTTGTGGGTAAACAACATGAAAGTCGATTATTTATGCAGACCGAGTGATACAACAAAACTTCTGTGACAGTTTTTCCTTGTACGTACAACATAATAATAATTCCAGACAAAGCAGCAAATACGAGACTTCAGTTGGCCCAACTATTGAAATGTTAGTTTTTTTCTTAACAAACACAAATAATAAAAATGTGGCAGGGTGTATAGGTTTGAAATATTAACAATGAATACTTTGATAGTATATAGTAGAAAACACCAACTTTCAACCTAATCAAATTTGCAGCATAAAATAACACATGTTGCATTACAGCATATCAACCTATTTTCATTTCAATGCAAAATAAGTCTATAACGCATAGGTGGCTGTGAAAAATAAAGTCATGACAATTGTTTTTATTATCACAGCTGTCAGAATGCGTTTAAAGTAGTTTTGGGTAGTTAAGGTTTTCAAAATGGGTAGAGGAAAGGTTACACTGGACAACAAATTTTAGTTTTTTAATTGTATCTTGTGGGAAAAGTGCACTTCTTTGTTAATTTTGGGGCGCTGAATCCAAAATGACAATGAAATAAAAAAGGTTAGTTGCGGTTTAGAAAAAAAAACTTTTTATTTTTAAGGATATATTAAAAAAAGTAACAAGATTCATATACTTAAAAGAATCACTATATTCGCTGTCTTTTTGCTGTCGTTTATGGATCGGTTCTGGAGCAGCATCGTCTACCAAGAGTCCCACCAGTAGTCTGCAAGCATGGAAAGGATTCCACTTTCCCTGGTACCTTTT